TGTAAAATTTGTAGATGAAAACATTCATAATTAATTTTATATATAAATAATAAAGTTAAGTTATTGATTTACTATTACCCATATGTACGAGTTTTTAATAACTTAAATTGGTATATTTAATAATTTTCTAATATGAATATGTTATCTTCATGTAATATTTAAAGAATTAGTAAAAATAAATATAAAAAAGTTGTACAATACCTATATAATATATCTATAGCCCTATAAATATATTTTAATCAAGAGTAGTTAATGTAGGTATGTTAATTACATTTTTATTAATTGATCTAGGGTTTTAGACATGTCAAGTGTTAATATTTTTTATTATGTAGTTATGACGGCTGCATCCGAGTTGGGTCCCAAATTTATAATTACTACACTAGTTGGGTCCCGAATTATTTTAGGTACTACACTAGTTGGGTCCCGGATTTTTGTAGGTACTATACTAGTTCGGTCCCGGATTTTTATAGTTGCTACACTAGTTGGGTCCTGAATTATTTTAGCTACAATACTAGTTCTTGAATATTTTTTGGTAAGTACTACACTATAGTACTATACTAACATTTTCCTTCCCATTTTAACAGACTTAGGACTGTCTATGATCTATTTAGACCACAGGTATGGTTAAAAATGTTTTTTACAGTTTTTTTTTTAGTTTTGTTTCTTTTCTATTAAAATATAAGTAATTAGAATTTTATAAAAAAATAAATCACTTATATATTGAAAAGGTTAAAAACTAATTAGTATAAAAATACATATTATATAATATAAATATAGCCATATAGGTGTAAGTTAAAAAATATTAAAAATGTTAAAATTATTATACAATAATATTATAAATACAAAAAAAAAATATTTTTGGAAAAATCACATGTTTGTTGGTAAAAATTTATACGATATTAATTTTACAAAATCAAATCGATTGATTATTCCTGCAGTTTTTTTATTCATATTGTCAGCTATAAATTTTTCTTTTAGCAAAATGCAGTTTCTTTTTTTCATTACTTCTACACTTCTCATTTTTATATAAGTATCAATTTGTACGTTTTTTAAAATTTCTAGGAACTGATAAATATTTGGGTGTACTGTGTAAAACATAGAATTAAAATGAGAATGGAATGATTCGCAGGAATTTGTGGTTCGCATTGTCGAGGCATTAAATTCTGACCAAATTTTTGGTGGAAATCTAGATTCTTCATTAATATAATTGTCAAAAACATAATCAGTGAATTCTCGAATTTTATTGTCGTTTGGTTGGAGACTCATTATATCTTCAATAAAACAATTTTCCACTTCTTCTGGGTGTAGAAATGGTAAGCCAAAAAAATATTTGAGATATTTACTTAATTCAGAATTACTTTTATACTCGTTTGTTAATCCCAAATTTTGAATTTTCCGCCCCAGCTCTGCCCTAAATGGAATCTACACCCTTTAATATTTATTTCCGGCCATACTGATAAAATAGAATTATGAATAGCTTCTTCAAAGTCTACATATATTGTTTGAGGTAAAAATTTTAAATTAAGTTTTTCGCATTCATTACATAACATCCGAAAAGTTTGAGTATAAATTTCTTTTTGTTTATTTGAGAGTAGACAAAAAATAAGTGGAATATAATGATTATTATGTATTGTATGTATTGTGAACATTTGCATAAATATTTTTGGACAACTTTTGAATGTGCCATCTACGTAAAACGTGTTGTTGTTACATAAAAAATTTAAATTTTCGACTGTAAAAAAATAACTATGTTATATTGATTATCATTAATTAATAAAAAATTTTCTTGTTTGTTAGTTTTTATATTTAAATCGTTCAATACTTTGTGAACCTCGTCATAACTTTGTGGAATATTTGGTAGAATATTTTTTCTCGCGTGATGAATATTTTTTTTAATAAGTGTACAATCGTAACGTGTTAATGTATCTATATCATTGTTTTTTAATTCAGAATGTAATAATTTAGAAGGTTTCTCACATATATCATTTTGAGCTTTTCTCTTTAAATTATTATTTAATATCTGCCTATTTAATATTTTTTCGGAATCACAATTATGATTATGTGTCAAATTTTGATCAATAAATTGATTTTCGTTGTATTTAAAAAATGACTTACATGATCTATGAATACATCTCCATCGTTCAATATAATTTTTCAGAAGTTTGTGAAATGAAAATTTATATCCTTCTATAATATATATTTTTTTGCCCTTTTCACTGAACATAACGTTAGAATCTTCCATAGTGCTAGTGGTTAGAATGCAGAACACTTACTACCAACATGTAGCTATATTGATAGATAACTCGTCGAGGTTTAACCGGCATTTATCGCTGTTCCAGATAGTTTATTATAAGATATGTTAAAAATTATCAGATATTACCGATAATACTGATATTATTACACGAATGCTCGAAAAATCCATGAGAGAAAACCACTTACGTCTTTTTTTATTACGAATATCCCATAATAGTCATATAATATATGTATAAGTACTTTTCATTTACTTTTAAATTTAATAAAATTCTATTAATATTATTGTACAATATTTTTACTAACTATCAAATACTATTATATAAATTATACAATTCTTCATATACCTATTATATGGATTTATTTAAATTAAATAATATGTATTTATATACTTGGTTTTTAGCATTTTTAATATTTAAAAAAAAAACTGTAAAAAACATTTTTAACCATACCTGTGGTCTAAATAGCTCATAGACAGTCTGTTAAAATGGGAATGAAAATGTTAGTATAGTGTAGTACTTACCAAAAAATATTCAGGAACTAGTGGAATACCTATAATAATTTGGGACCCAACTAGTATAGTACCTATAAAAATCTGGGACCTAACTAGTACACTACCTGCGATTAGCCCCTAGTATTCGGGACCCAACTCGGATGCACCGGTTATGACTTTACCCAAATTTTTCAAAACTTTGCACTACGGAAATTTGTTCATACCCTAGTAAAATTATTGATAACTAATGTGTTCATTACCTTTGATAAATAATATATAATAAATTTATGTCCATTTTTTGGTCTATACACACACAAGATCGTTTTGAAATAAAATCAATGTGTGAATAGGCTTTTAACTACTCTTAGAACTATATTAGCTTATTTCCGGAATGATTAACCTATGACCTGTATGTCTACAAATGAAAAGATAAGTTCTTCAAAAAAAAGTGGTTAAATAATTAGATGACATAAAGGTGCAGACATTTTTGGCGTTCTTGAGTTGAGATTTTTTAAGTTAACAAAAAATTGTGATTGTTGCATGAAAATTATCACTTCTGACCAAATATTAAAAGAACATATTATGATGATTCAAACTTGTCAATATGAGAACTGTGACTTGACTTTTCCGAATGCAGTGGCGATGGACATTTTTAATTATTTAATAGAAATGTTTAATCTTAATTTTGACAAATTTGTATACAAATGTAACTCTAAAGCGTCTTATAACTATTTAATTTCATATTTGATACCATCTAATTATTTGACATGTCCAGAACACAATGTATTTAATTTGTTTTTAAAGACTGCTATTAATCTTCTGATTTATTCTTATATAACTCATGTAAATAAAATATTGACAAAAGGTGAAAAATCTGTAACATCTGATTAGATAAAAATTAATGCTATGGTATACCATGACAAAAATGCAAAAAAGAAAAATGTATTATTAAGACAAAATGTAAATTATGTAAATAATAAATTGTAATATTGTAAAAAAAAGTATTTGTTACATGTTTGAAAATATTTCAATAAATATAATTTTACTCTACAAATATGTTTTTTTTTTTTTTTTAAAAAAACTTGAAAAAAGTAAATGGTAAATGGGAAATTTAAAATTGAAAGCAGTACATTCGATAATCGATAAATATATCGATTTCTACAAACTATCGATAGTTTGTTTTAGTTCGTAAGACAGCCACGCGGAGCGATAGCATCGAACATCATATCAAAATGTTCTACAGTAGTCGCCTTTCTATTTAATCTCTATTCTATGGCAAAACCTCTCAAAATGTATTTTTGTATAAATTGTTCATAATTTTTTATCAGTATTCCTGTTTATGCATACTTTTATTGTTGTCTCATATTTATCTTATATTCTTTATATTATTGTTTTCGTTGCGTGGAAAATTTACTATCTTATTATTGTATGCGCTGTGCGCGATAAGTGCAGGTGTTTGTATTTTCCATGCATGTTATCTGAATTATGATTTGGGTAATATGCGTGGAGGATTATGGACATTTGCACTAATCCCGAAAATTGTACGTCTATCGGCAGTTAACGATTGGGTTTTTCGTGCCTTTTGTCACAGAACACGAGACCGACCCGATGTAATTGCCGATAGACCGGGTATAAAAGGCCCCACGACACGACCATCAATACCATTCTCCGTCTTTCCGACTTTGTAGTAAGACCAACCCGGGCAGACTTGCGCAAATAGGAAAGGCGGCCTCCCAGACCACACTTATCGAACGGTTTGTGACTCGGTCAATGGTGCAATAGTCAGAGTAATTCCGGCATTGCATCGGTCGACACACCGTTCGATAAGCCCCCTCCTCTGTCGTGCTCCGTCGTGTCGTGGCGTCGTGTAGCTTCTTCCGCACCTTTGTTTTGTTATAATATAGTTAAACTTTAAAACTCAGAGTGTTTTCTTTTTCGTTTCTTTCCTTTGTATCGTTCTAACAATTCCCATAAAATAATAATATGGATAATCATTATCTTTAGATAAAAATGTCATCTTGACTACTGGTTTTTACTTACGGTTTTGATCATGGGCGGATAGGTACTTTTTTTTTACCGGGATATATTTATTGGGGCCTCATATAACTAGGGCCTATATATTATATTATATATAAAAAAAAAAATGCTCGCTTCGCTCGCAATACTTTTTACAATCAAATCATATATATTATGTACTACAAAATAAATTAAAAAAATATATATAATTATTAAAATGATAACAAATTTTTAAATGTACTATTCCTAGCAGCTAATTTATTGATCACATCATTTGAATCAATTGTACTCAGTAAATCTTTTTCAACATTCATTAGCATGAAACTTTCTAAAATGTCTTGGCCCAATGTATTTCTCAAGTAATTTTTTATATATTTCAATTTAGAAAAACTCCTTTCACATCCTACTTGTGTCACGGATAATGTCAGCAATAGTTTATACGCAACAAACAGACTGGGATATGCATTTGTGTATAAGTTGTACTTCACAAGCACATCAAAGCAACAAACTACACAATATTTTGCATTCGTGCTTGGATTATGACTACACGATACTAAAAGTTCAACATCATTTGAACATTCTAAAAAAACAAAATTAAAAATTAAAATTATACTATCAATATTAAATAGGAAGGTAAATTAATACATTTATAAATAGTAGTTATTTTTCTTATTACCATCAATATTTTCATCATAGTCTTGTAGTTCAGTATATACACAGTCAATACTTTTTTTTATTTCTTTCCATTTTGATATGAAGTCTAAATATTCATTTCGAAAGTCTTCGTACATAATTCCTGGACAATAATTGCAAATTTTATCAAACACACCAATAAGAGCATTTTTTGGAAGTGTTACATCTGGTTTGAAATTATTAGAGTCAAGACATGCAAAATCTGCACATAACTGTCCATGTTTTTCGAATCTTGAAGAAATGCTCTCAATAACAGTGTCCAGTACTTGATTGTAAACATTAACTTCATATGAATGCAATGGGTATGTTATAGGATCATCATCTGCCTCATAATCATGAAATTGCTTAGTTTTTTTCTTTTTACGAGATTGTGGTAGACTATTTGCGATTTCTATTACATTGTTTTTCATTTTTTGAAACATTTTATTGGTATGTTGTACAAACTTATCAGCTGCATCTTTAGTCCTAGAAAACTCACGTGTACACTTTTTTAAATCCTGTAATGTTTGTGTTACCATTTGATACGCAGTCATTATATTGATCTCTTTGCCTTGAAGATATTTAGAAAGCGGTGTAGTTTTTTCAAATATTTTAAGGTACATTTGTGCTGTTAAAATTATTTCGTATTTACATAAACCTGCCTTTAATCCACTTGCTTTAAAACGAGCTTCAGATTTTATACTTGAATTTGTTTCAATTTCACTTAATGTTAATATAAGGTCCACAAAAAGTCCAGACTCAGGATTATTAAAATTACCAAAGATTTTGGTTAAAGAAGCATCTTTTGACCACCATCTAGTTTCACCAATAGTACAAACTCTTTTTCTGGAATTCATAGTTGTCCAAACATCCATACGGGTGTGTGATTCACGTATGAAGACTGCACACCCATTTAAAATTCCAAATAAAGTAATAGATTGTAATACTTTAAGAGTAATATCACCTATTACTAAATTCAATACATGCGCATAGCACCACACATGTATTTGTTTAGCTGCTACATCACTTAGTTTTGCAGAAAACCCATTATATTGGCCCTGCATATTTGCAGCTCCATTAGTTGCATTTCCTACACAGTTATTTGCTTTTATGTTCAGGTTATGAAAAACTTTTAAGACTAAATCAACAAAGGCTATCCCTTTGCTTGACTTGCATTTTATCATGCCAACTAATCGCTCTTTTACAGAAGTACCGTTTACATATCTTATAATAACTGAGCATTGGTCAATCACAGAGACATCTTGAGTAGTATCAAGTTGTACAGAGTACATTCCAGCTTTAATGATCTCTTCAGAAATTGATGACTTTATAATTTCACTTATTATCTCAATAATGTAATTGACTGTGGTTTTAGGTAAAAAACTTATGTGCCCACCTCCTTGTTTGGAACCAGAATCATGACTTTTTGTACTATTTTTAATTGCTTTATCTAAATGAGCTTTGAGTACTGGATCATACTTGCCCACTAGTAAAATCATTTCCAAGAAATTACCATGGTCTAAAGCTGGATTATCAAGAGTATATATGGCTTCATAAGTTTTACCTCGATAACTCAGTCCACGTTTACCGATTAATTTAATAATATCAATTATACGAAATAAAACTTGCCTTCTATTTTCTATTTCTTTCTTCCTTATTGAACTATGACCATAAGTTAATAGTGAATCAATTGATGAAAATTGTTTTTTCATAACATGAGCATCTACATTTAACCTATGTGTTTTTGAATTTTCATGTTCATTTATTCGAGTATGCACATGCTTCCAGTCAATAAATCCTTTAGAGAACGGTCCTGATCCGTCACCATAACAAAGGCAAATACAACAAAATAGAGATTTATCCATGGATCTAAATGACACCCATTTACGATTTCCTCCATCAAACCGAAAATAAGTTTTTTTATATGCAAATGGTACACCAATTTTTGGTTGATTGGGATGAAATAACCAGTACTTTGCAAAATTGGCTATGGAAGGTCTTATAAACAAATTCAAATCAGAAGACTCTAAAAAAAAAGAAATTAAAATCTTAGTGGTCATAAATCATAATTGAAATACATGTCAAATTAGAAAAATTAAATGGTGACAAATATATTATTTTACATTTTTATGATTTCTATTTTTATGCCTTCATGGTACTAAATATAGATACAAATTTGTAGTGATATAAATTTAAATTATATTCTTGTTTTAGTAATTTTGTTTATAATCCTCATAATTAATTATTTTGTACCTAGTGTCTTAGCTGTCATTTATATTATGTACTCAGTCTTGTATTATTAAATTAATATTTTAAAAATAGTATTTTTACCACAGTCATTGGGTAGTTGGATCTCGTTATTGTTATTGCAGCTACTCAAATCATTTACATATCCACTGTGTTGTTCTTCTAGGGATAAACTTTCTACTTCACACTGTTTATTTGTACCAAGAACATCTAATAGTTGGAAAATTAATACTACATAAGTACTTACACCTATAATTCCATGATTCCATCTTCTAATATTATATTCAAGATTATTTCAAAAATGACTGATAAATATTGATTATTTAATTATATCTTTCATTGTATTAAGTAAAATAGGTAACAATATTGTAAATAAATTTGATATCGGTATTATATGTACCTGCCTACTATTAGGTTTATGTTAAATATATTTTGATCCTACAAAAATATTGTATAACAAATAACAATGTAATTTGTATAACTACAAAATGAAACAAAAAGTGTACACATTTCTGAAGAATCAGTTCCTATAGGCTTAACGCTCCTAGTTTAAAATTCAATTATGTGACCAATAACCATATATTAGTAAAGCTGATATTACTTACCAGTTTTTTTGTTTTTCAATCCGGAGATTGGTTTTTAACAAATGTTTCACAATAAATGACTTCTCCATTTTTCTCTATCATTCGCCATATTTTTAAGCTCCCTGTAGGAAGTGACTCCTGCTACCTTCTATCATACCTTCGATTATTATACTATGCAGTTCGTCTCCATGCCTCAACGTGTGTCCTATCATCTGCCATCTCCTTTTCTTTATGGTGTCTATCAGTGTTCGTTTTTCCTCTATTGTTCTCAGGATATCTTCATTTGATCTTCTATCAGTCCAACTTATTCTCTGCATTTTCCTCCAACACCACATCTCGAGAGCTTCTAACATATCTTTTTCTTTCTTATTAATTGTCCAGGTCTCACTTCCATATAATGCCACACTCCAGACATATGTTTTTATGAGCCGTTTCTTCGTTGCTATGTTCATATTTTTTGATGTTAGTATTTTTCTCTTTTTAAGGAATGTGTTCTTTGCTTGACCTATCCTGCTTCTGATTTCTTTAATTGATTTCCCGTCGTCTGTTATAATGCTGCCCAAGTATTTGAAATGGTCTACTTGGATAATTTCTTTGTTTTCTAATGTTATATTTATAGATGGTACGTTTTTCTTGTAGCGTACTAAGGTTTTGGTCTTAGCTGAATTTATTTTCAGACTATATTCTTTAAACGTAAAATTCATTACATTTAATGCTGCTTGTAGGTCTTCCTCAGATGTTGTGAGAACGACTATATCATCAGCAAAGCGAAGCATGGTTATTAGTACCCCTCCTATTTTCACTCCGATTCCTTTTTGTTCTAACCAATGCTTTATGACATTTATTGCTTTTTCAATAAATACATTGAATAATGCAGGTGAAAGTGGGCACCCTTGTCTCACACCTTTTTGGATTCTAGCAGTCACTGTTGTTGTATTAATTTTGATAGTGGTTTCTTGTTCTTCATAAATTTTATAGAGAATACGTCTGTCTTTAAAATCTATCTCTGTTTCTTTCAAAATTTTAAAGAGACTTGTCCAATTTATGCTATCGAATGCTTTTTCTAGGTCTATAAAAGCCATATAAGTGATTTTTTGTCTCTCGATTTGTTTTTCAAGTATTACTCTCAGACCTAAAATAGCCTCCCTGGTTCCTTTGTTTTTCCGGAAACCATATTGGTCGTTGTCTAATCTAACTTCTATTCTTTTACTTATCCTTTTACTTACAATTATTGTCAGTAATTTAGCCACATGCGATATCAGGCTTAAGGTCCGAAAATTTTCGCATTGATTGGCTCTTGGTTTTTTTGGTAGGATAACTAATCTACTGCATCCAAAATCTCTCGGAATTATTCCAGTCTCGTATATTTTACATAACAGTTCGTACAGAGCGTTCTTTATTTCATCATCTGTCTGTTGTAGGAGTTCTGTGTTTAGTCTGTCTGGGCCTGGTGCTTTGTTTTTCTTCATTGTTTGAAGTGCGTCTTCAAATTCTGATTTTAGGATCCTTGTATTTGCATTTGAATCAAAGTCGCCGTCGGTTGGGTTTTCGACGAGTAGGTCATTGTTTTCTTCTTCTCTGTATAGTTCTTCTACGTATTCTTTCCATCTATTCGCTATTGCTATTTCATCTATGAGTAAATTTCCTTCTTTATCCTTTACGTGTGTGCATTGTGACTTTTTTTCATTAAAGTATCGTTTGATGAGTTTATATGCCTTGTCCTGTTGATTGTATTTCATCATATTGTCTATTTCTTCACAATTCTTTTCGATCCACCTTTCTTTGGCTTTTTTCGCTTCACGGTTTATTTTATTTCTTAACGTCTTATATTGTTTTTTACTTTCTTCATCTGTTTTGTTTTTAAACAATCTTCTTCTTTCTATATCTTGAACTATTTCCATTGTGATCCATTCGCTTTTCGGTGCTGGTTTCCCCCTAATTAATACTTCTTCTGCAGACTGGGTAATAGATTCTTTTATGCAACGCCACCTATGTTCTATATTATTACTCCTATCCGGACAATTTCCCCCCGGACATTTTCCCCCCGGCTGTTTTTGGCGTAGTAGGACATTTTCCCCCCGAAAATGTTCCGACGGACATTTTCCCATTTTTAAGTTTATGATTTAATAATTTAACAGTATATTATTTGATAAGAATATTTTTCATAAACATAATAAGACATAAAATTGTATACAAGTAAAATAAATTACTTCGACATAAAATGATATGTTTTGTAAAAGATTGAATTTCTGATTTTTATGTCAGCACATATTTTTAATCGTCTTTCATTTGTTTTTGTTAAAAACCGTGCCTGTTTTAAGTTTTAATAATTTATTAATTGCTATTGAATTTGACTTTTGTAGTCTTCAATGAACATCCAAATATTTGATGCTGGAGTTCTACCAAAGTTTTAAATTTGTTATTGAAACCTTCACAAATATTATTTGTTCTACCTGTGTTTTTCTTTGTAGCATTATGTACATTCCATAAATAAGGAGGAAATATTGGTGAAGATCGCCAAAATGACAAACCATTTGATTGTGTAGTAGTTCTCTTGTAAGTCCCATTAACGTACGTTTTATCAAAGTATAACAATAGTTCATCGATATCAGGATCATTGAAATCTTTTGATAAATCATACAACACAGACATACCTAAACAATTAGTATAATAAAACGTATATAATAGTATTATTACATATATTATAGTACATACCTTTCTTAACATATTTTAGAGGCAATAATGCTAAACCTTTAATCATGCCAACCATTTGACGAACATTTTCATTTTCTTTGTACTTTTTAGCTAATCCTGTGTTTTGAACTTTTACAAATACTTTGGGAAAGATGATAATAACAACATTGAATATTAATGTCGACAAATACTAATTCAATAGCCTGAATCATTGATTGTTCAAAGTCAATACTTATAGTTTTTAATTTCAACTCAGACAACATACTTTTAAGTTTTGATAAAAGTTCAATAGATTTTTTTTTTCTTGTATAAAGCATAAACACACGGAATTGATGTGTTTAATACATGCGTGAATTATGTATACTTGGTAAAATTCTTTAGGACAATTAAAATGTTCCATCCATACTCCACTTGGTCGATTTTGACAACTCTACAATCCTTCGGAGACGCAAAACAATTAATCGATTGTCATTGTTTTCATTATCAAATAATAAAATTGTTTTGGTTCAGCACCTCCTGTATAGTAGCCCAATTACTATTTATTTTCAATTCCGATAAAGCATAGTGAAGGATACTTTTATTCCGAATTCTTCTTAGTGATCTTTTGATTGATTTTTCATCTGTCAATAAAACCATTGCTTCGTTGGATAAATTAGATTTCTTCTGAAAAACTCTGAAGGAGTATCAAAATTGTTTTGGGCTTTAGTATGCATATTCAAAATGGCTTTTGTTGCTTCTACTTGGGCTGAGACGTAGATGATTTTCAGCAATACAACTGAACGAAGTACAACAGA